TAAAGAGGGAGGCTCCGGCAGGCGATGCGCTCAGGTGGCATCGGCAGCAGCCGTGGTGTGGGCGCAGGGGCTGCTCCCCCACTTCTGTCAGCGGGAGGGATGCTGGCGTCGCAGCTGGTTCAACCAGCTTTATGGTCTCTTTGTGCTGCTGCAGCAGAGCTGAGAATCTGGCCCTGGCTCCCTCCCCGCCTCGCCAGGGACTGCATCAGTGTGCTGTTTATTGTTTCTGCCAGATCATTCATGCAGATGTTAATGAATGCTAGACCCAGCTTTGCTCCCAGCAGAGTCCCTTCCACACCTCCCCCTGCCCAGCCCTCTGCACTGGAGTTTCTGTTTACAGTCCTGCAGGGAATTTCCCCTCCGCTGCACGGTCTTTGAGCCACACAGTCCCAACTCCTGCTGCCAGCAGGCTCCCACACCTCCCTGGTTCCCGTAGCTGTCCAATGTCACCTCCAGGTGTCTGCGTCCCTCACTGTCACCATTCCTTCTCCACCTCTGGCCTCCCCAAACTAGAGACATGCCAATTCTCCTAGGAGGGAGCAGAGGGCTCGGCCAGTGAAGAAAGTCGCTACAAGTTCTTCCTCTGCACAGATGGAGAAAGCACAGGGTGCAGTCATCACTGAATGAGAAAAGCAAAGCAACTTGTCCAAGAGGACTCCGAGACAATGTCTACACTGGTAAGTGGTACCAAGACCCACCTCCTGGCCCTGCATGCCTGGATCCACACCACTGCATTATCTTCACATCCCAACGAGGTGGGCACCTCAGTCTGCCTATAATTGGGAAATGCTGGGAATACTTGGGAGAGCATTGATCAGCCCAGCCCAAAATCCCACCAGGGACCTCTGCAAAAGTTTAGCAGCACAGACGACCATGTCCCCAAGCCCCTGCTAGTGCGGTGGCTGAGCCACACAGAGCCTCGCTGTCCTGGCAGCTGTTGGACATCAGGAAGCTAAAGAGCAAGTCTACCTGCTGCAGAGGGCATCAGCCTCAGGAGCGGGTTCTGCTTGATCACAGCAATATCACTTACCCTTCCAGGAGAGCAATGACGTTCTTTCTGGGCCTCCCAATGTTCGGCCCATAGAGGTTTGCTCTGGAATAAGTGCGGATAAGCTGCAGCAGGCCTCTCAGCTGGATGTAGTCCTTCCCCAGCTGGCTGCCATTCACTGAGCGGCCGATCAAGGTCCGATAGTTATTGGGCTCTGGGAAAACAAAAATAGACAAACAAGGCTTGCCAGCTCCACTCCTTCATAGAATTGGAGAATCGTTTAGGTTGGAAAAGACCTTTAAGATCATCAAGACCAACTGTTAACCAAGTCCACCACTAAACCGTCCCTAAGCACCATATCTACAAGTCTTTTAAATACCTCCTGGGATAATGACTCAACCACTTCCCTGGGCAGCCTGTTCCAGTGCTTGACAACCCTTTTGGTGAAGAAATTTTTCCTGATTATTTCCTAAACCT